AACTCAACACTTGTCTGGTGTTGATTTAGAAATCAACACTGGACTGGATTGCTTTTTGTTTAACTCTTTGGAACTCTTTAGTGAGTTTAGGAACTCTCACTAAAATTCATGTTGTTGAATTAACACTGTACTTTTAAATACATTGGAAATCTGACACTTCTGAATTTGCTGTGTGTTGGTGATTAATCCAAAACAGAGAAATGATTTCATATGCAACTGCAAATCTACAACAGAAGGACTGAAAAAATCAAGGTTTTGACTCAAACTTCATCTTAAAGTGCCTGAAGTTTTCTGACTGTACCTCAGGAGAGCGCTGTAGATAAATACAGATAGAACAACATTTAAAGAGGGACTAAGCTAAACTTGATCGAAATTTGCAGTGAGCTTTTGCAGTGAGCTTTGAGTACTAATGATTGTTGAAGCAAAACATCACATGCTGTTTGAGGAGGAAATCATTAATACCATGAAGGAAAATTAACCCCTTTCTTCTAATTTTTCTAATTGTTGAAACTCTGCTTACCATTACTGTCCCATCGTTCTCAACGAAGAAACCGTGATCGTAAGTGACGAACATCACCAACCTGGCACCTGGGCAGTCGGTGAAGTTCACTGAGGTAGAAGCAAAAATATTTGCACTTCACTTCAAAGGTTTGGAATTTCAGAACCAAATAGACTTTCATAGAAGTTGTGTTAGTAAATGGACTGAAACCATGTTTGCTTGTCATCTCATTTTAACTGCTCAAAACACTGTGCATTAGAGATAGATTGATCTAGCCATGCTTTTAATGCCTTTGCTCTCATACACTCAACACATAGATGACTAGACAGATGTTAGTGTTTAGTGTCAGGTTAAGCATTTGACATGGACCTAAAAGGCCAAGAACCTCAGGGGAAGAATGTAAGCAGGCAACTGAAGGGAGTAGATTTGAAAACACAGAAAGTCAAAACTGGGACCCATCTGTGAGCTGCTTGGGGGTCATCTGGTGGGTGAGACATCAGGAGGTGCTGGTTTAGCTGTTGTATACAGCTTAGAGAAGGGGTACTCAGATCCAGTGCTCAAGATCTACCATCCTGCAACTTTTAGATCCATTTGCAACTGCAAAACTGTGTTTTTTTGACACCCAACAATGTTTGGAGCACATTTGTAATGGAAATGCAGCAAGTATTTTCTGCAGTGACCATGGTCTGGCTATATTCTTTTGTCAGGTGGTGTGGTTGAGGTGGATCCAAATGAAAAGAGGACATTGGGAGGAATTGTTGTTGTGGAATGAAATCATCATCAAATTAAAGGAAGTTATACGCTCTGGGTCAACATCGTAAGGTTTATTGCTTGTTTCATAATTGGTCACTGAATTATGTATTTTGTCATGTAAAGCACCTGGACTGCCTTGTTGCTGAAATATGCTATACAAATAAACTTGACTACGGAAAAAAACAAGAACATACATGGGTAACAGAAGCAAAAGAATCCATTAATAAACAATGTAAACAATGAAGTTAGGCTGAGTCAAATTTTGATGTAGGCTAGAAACCAGGTTAGTCCCAAAATTCTTAGGACTATATACAGCTCAGAGATATTTAGGAAGGAACTGAGAAGGCGACTAGTAATACTAAAATATGCAAAGGGGGAACTCAGTAGGACACACAACATCTTACAAAACAAAAACTAAAGAATAACACTGTTAAAAAAAAACTGTTTTGCTAGTTTTTTAAACTAGCGAAACAGTTTGCCATTGTGTTAAGAAACACAATGGCATCCCCAAAGTATCCCATAATCTAAAGAAACACCTACAGATCATGACAGAACAGTATCTGTCCAAAAGGGGACATGAACAAATAATGCAGGATCTAAAATTAATCTCAAATCTTTCCAATCAGAACATAACTGCTATTCTCCCCGAATCAAAACTGGCCCACAGTGAGAGTACACAGTTCACAGTTGATCTCACCTTTTCCCAGGATTGTGCCTGGCCTCAGAAGCTTTTTAGTCACCTTAAAAATAACTGATTCTTGGTCAAATCCTGGTTCACATATTTGGTTTTCTGTGTGCCCTGCTGGAGAAGCCTGGGAAAGAAAAAAGTGGAAATGGGAGACTGTTAATCTCGCATGAACATGTCCGCTTTGAATCAAAGGTAGTTAATGTTTAGACTGCCAAGACTTTGCAGTCGGTGCTTTTTTGTATTCATTGTGTATTCATGTGCTGTTTTAGAGTTTCCACAGTTTCTGCAACATTTTAACTACAAAATGTTAGTTTTGCCTCAGGCTTAGACCAGATAACTCCAATTTGTTCAGAAGAGGACAAACATGTCTCAAAGAACTCAGTAGATGAGCCAAAACTAAATGAGAGGAACCTCAGACTAATACATGCTCTAACTTTATTTCCATATGAGTGTATTTTTTCAGAAGTATTTGTGAGCCAGAACCAAAAAAAACACAATTCACAGTTTTAGGTATTACTTTTGAGGAAACAGATCCTGAATCTGTCATAGATTATCCAGATCATGTTTATAATAGAAAACACAAAAGCAGATTGCAGAAGAAAATCTTACCTGAACATTCAAGAATAAAGCACACCAAACTGTGAACCAAATGGTCCCCATCTCTCCTCTGTGTGAAACGCTTTGTAATCTAATGCAGTATGTGTGGTTGCAGTTTAAAAGGAATAACAATTGGTGCCTCCCTTCTTATCTCTGAGTGAAACCAATCTGGGGAAGCTGCTGCAGGAATATTAAGTGTGTGACCTCAGCATATATGTGTGCAGGATCTAGGTTCCTTATTTGGTCATACAGACTGAAGACAGGCAGAGACAGAAACTCAGAGCTTCTGTTACTTGCTGTTAAATAAAGGCCAAATCATCTCAGACTGGTTTCTTGGACACGACAATAACTTCCCTGTACTCGAATGGCCTCCACAGTCACCAATTCTCAATCCCATAGAGCACCTTGGGGATGTGGTGGAACGGGAGATTCACATCATGGATGTGCAGCTGACAAATCTGTAGCAACTGCATGATGCTATCATGTCAATATGGACCAGATTCTCTGAGAAATGTTTCCAGTACCTTGTTGAAGCTCTGCCATGAAGGATTAAGGCAGTTCTGGAGGCAAAAGGGGGTCCAACAAGGTACTAGCAAGGTGTACCCTTACAAAAAAATCCCATGAAAATCACATGTTTTCACATGTGATCACATGTCAATCACATGTGATTTTACCATGAAACATTCCAAAATCACATGTATATGTGTGCTTTCACATGTGATTCACATCATTCACACATCATTTACATGTCAAAATTCGATCACATGTGACTTTCACATGACATTCATGAGATTTTTTTGTAAGGGTACCTAATAAAGTGGCCAGTGAGTGCATATTTCATATCAGAAGTTCTTAAATTGAACAGGTTAAGTAGCACACAGAGCACAACACTAATGATTTTGACTTGTTTTTCTTTTTTTTTTTTGTTTGCTTGTCCATGCATGTCTAGAATAAACCGTGCAGCTCTGTGCTCATGCACTTTCACACCTGCAGAGTTCTTCACACCTTGAGGGGCCTGAGGAGTGTTCCCATAGGAGTTTCCCTATGCGACCGGGTTTCAAAGAGTGCCGTGTCAAAATTCCAATTACTGGAGATGTGTAAAGAGAGACAAGAGACTGGATCACAGCCAAAATGTTACTGTTTCACTGAAAAACAGCTCTCTGTTAGCAAGGCATAAGTGATAAATAACTTCAAGTTGTTTCCAAAGAGATTGCACAAGTCAAATTATCTCAAACCATAACTGGCCAAAACAGATCTAATCTGAAATAATAGCATCAAAGTGTTTTTGTGTTGAACGAGTCTTGTCATGACTGACATGTCATGGAATGTGTTTTTCTCTGTGGTTTTATATAAAGAGGCTAATCAGAACAGATGTTAGGATAACAACATAAACACAATTCATACCTACATTAATAAAGGCTAATGTTTAGGTTGACTGGTGGATCACATTCTTCTCTGTCAAAACTCCAAATTTGAAAAATATGCAATGAAAAAACCTTAATGAAATAAACTACAAGTTTTCCATTTGCTTTGCGTTCATACATTTCTGTGGCTGAAATGTTTGGATGTGAGTTAAATAGAAATAAATTGTTATGTAACAGTGAAGTGTTTACATCAAGTCATCATTGACATGAATATTCTATTTACAGAAGTATAGGGATGCAAGGACTGAGGCCTTTCTGCATGAACAAGCATACAGAGGTACATTTCACATACACATGTTGTGCGTGTCTGTATTTCACACATAGGCACACACAGATCCAGATTCTGGATCTTTTTTCATGGATCAAAAGTTCTTGGTCCATGAAAAGACCAAGAACTTTTG